TTCGAACTTGTAACAGTTCGATTCTGTCCGCGTTCTGTTCTGGTACGTATGCGAAAAAAGGACTGTTCTGAATTGAATCTGTTCGATTTTAGGTCTGTTCGATTTTGAAAACGTTCGAATTCGTCGTACCCCCCCCCCCCCAATTTTTTAACAGGAAATTTGCGGGAATTTCTGGTAACTTTTAAAATCCAAAAAAAAGAAAATTTGGTTCCTCGCCTACCGTAGCAAAATTTTAAAGGCGCATGAGCTTTTTTTGAAATAGACCAGAAAAACTCACAAAATTTGTAAAATCAGGAGAATAATAACATTAAAACTGATCCTCATCTTCAAGTTCTGGGAAGTTAGCTTCTGAAACCGGGGACGGTTATTCATGAAACAGTTTTTTATACGAAAAACGTTTTACAAAACTAAAATAGAATTTTTATGCCTACATGAATCATTCTTATAAGAAACACAATATTTTTGACTTCAGTTTTCGAATTTCAATTTCAAAACAATGCAACCAATTTTACTGTCATGAATAACCCCATGGGGGGGCTCATAAGCGCCGTCCGTCTTTTGCTCTAAATTTGGGTCACGTCAATTACTTGAAGCAGACAAACTAGTTTGCTGACCATCGAGCTAATGCTGCTCAGTAGAGTGTCGTCTCGCGAGACAAGTCTCGAATTTTTACATGTTTTCGCAAATTGTTCAGCAAGACCAGTTCAGTCTTTGTTTCGCACAAAGTTCAGCAAAGTTTCATTTCTGGATTTCTCGGAAAACTCAAGTTCAGCATTTTCACGTTTTCGCATAGTTTCGCAATTTCCCAGCGCAGCATTTTCTCGTTACAGCATTTTCCAGCAAGCTTTTCTTTTCTCGCAAAGTTTCGCAAAATTTCGCGAGAAAAAAGGAAGTTCAGCGAGACAGACGTGATCTTTATGGAAAGGGGTTTTTAGGTTCCAACTCAGAAGGATGTCATCTTTAACCTGGTGATCCCCTCTCAGAATATCTATTATCTCATGAAAAAGTTTGATCAGTTCAATTCAAGCCCTAAATTCGGAAATTTGGAAAAAAGTTCACATTTCAGAAAATCTTAATACAGATTTTCATAAATTCGAAACTTTCGAAAATTGAAATTCTAAAAAAGCCAAGAAAATCCAAATTTCGAACATTCGGATTGTGAACCATTTGTGGCACCCACTAAATGCCAACGGAACAGTAATAAATCAGTCAGGAATTATGTAAATCCTTGTTATCAAAAGATTTGATTGCTAGTGGGTGGAAAGAAAACACATATTTGTGATTTCCAGAAGTATTTAGGATACCAATTCTTATGAAAAAACTCATTTTTACACTTCTCTATGTATAAAAATCATTTTAGCACATTTAAAGAATTTTCAAAAAATTATAAAAATTTCTAAAGGGGGACCCCATGGCGAATTTTTTTCAAAACACTTTTTTTGAAATATGAGCAAACGTTGTCAGATTGTAGAAAAACGTTTAAAAGTACGAATTAAATACGAAAAACTCCGAACAATTGTTTTGAACTCCTTCAAAAGTTCACTCCAAAAGTGAGAAATTAGTACTGAAATCACTTAAAAGGTCACAAACTTTTTGTGAGTGGACACGGGAAAAAAAAACAGCACCGTAATCAGCATGTTCGAAATTTGGATTTTCTTGGCTTTTTTAGAATTTCAACTTTCGAAAGTTTCGAATTTATGAAAATCTGTATTAAGCTTTTCTGAAATGTGAAATTTTTTTCCAAATTTCCGAACTTCAGGCTTGAATTGAACTGATCAAACTTTTTCATGAGATAATAGATATTGTGAGAGGGGATCAACAGGTTAAAGATGACATACTTCTGAGTTGGAACCTAAAAACCCCTTTCCATAAAGATCACGTCTGTCTCGCTGAACTTTTCCGAGAAATCCAGAAATGAAACTTTGCTGAACTTTGTGCGAAACAAAGCTGAACGAATGTAGCTGATTTTTGCGAGATTCGCTGATTCCTCTGAACTTTTGCTGAACTTAAGTCTCGCGAGACGACACACTACTGCTCAGCGAGCTAACCTGATTAACAAAGAAAAGTTAATGATGGCCAGAAAAAAAACACGAAACGACAAACAGTTCAAGAGACAGCAAAATTAATTATTTTTGAAATTTTGCTTTTTTTTTGTTTTTCAAACAAACATTTGAATTCCTGAAATTTAGAAAAATTAAAAACAAAAAAATCTTAATTTTTATTACAGTATTCATTTGTACAATCAATAATCTAACAGAGAAAAAAAACAAAAAAATTATCTCAAGAACCCGCATTACAGTTTCAGTTCGTCCCCAAAATAAAAACGACCTCGTTTTAATTTTCAAAAAAGAAAAAGTTTTTCAAAAAAATGTTTCTTTCAAAGTTGTCTAAATCGCGGAGATCTGCTGTCGGCGGTCCCATTCGAGCTCGGTTCAGAAGTGGGTTGGAAATTCTTGGTTTCCTCAATCACTTGATCGAAAATCACTTCAATTCCCAGCCAAGTCTCTTTACCAATCGGGATCAACCAATGGGGTTTGACTTGGAATGCGAACCAGGCTGAAAACTCGGAGATTAGGAAAATGCGCCCTACTGAACAGCCCACTTTTCATATCTGGCGGCAATTCCAAAACGTAAACATATTTGGTTGGTGTGTTCTTTTTAATCCAATCCGTTGCTCCTCCGGTAGCAGTGCCCAACATATCGGCTGCTGTTCCTACTCGGTATTTGGTCTCCCGATATGCGAATACTCGATCGGCGGCTCGATTAGCAAGTGTTTCCTGGAACAAAATTTTTTCAAAGACAAAAAGAAAACAATAAATTAAATTATATTTTAAAAATGGCTTGGCGGTCTAGCCTCTGAGTTCCCTATCACTAGTCAGCTACCGAATTTTCTCGAATAGAAGCAGGCCCTATTAGTGCAATGTGAGCTCAATTATCTAGGATCCTATAGTCGCTCTCAAAAATCTGTAAACTGATAAAATATTGGTCATATTATGATACATTTTACTAGTTGGACATTTTTCCATATTGTTCATAGGAACTGAAATAATTAATTCAAAATTGATGTTTTGGTTGGGGTTTGATTAGATGAAATGGTATTTTCAGCGCTTGTTTAGTTTCAAGAGGTATGTCTTTTGGATTAAATTTTACAGAAAAGTTGGTAACTACAAAATTGAATCCCTTATATTGTTCCGTATACTCTGAAGTTTTCGCACAAAGCTGCAGGTGTCGTGGTCTGCAGCCACAATTATGCATGCAGGCTGCGTTCAATTATCTCGGTTCCCATAAGAGATATCAAAAAATGATGAACTGATAAAATCTTCAGCATAATATCAGAAGTGTCTTGTTAGTTGACTACTATCTGATATATCTTATAAGAACCGAGATAATTGAGCTCAAACCTAACAGTGTGAAATCCCTCCTATACAGGTTTTAAGTAAAACCTAACAATGCATGGAAATTACCAAGTGCTTACCAAATCTTTAAAATCCTGTGGATAGGTTCTCTTGTGATAGTTGTACGGTAGAATCCATAGCTGTCCATGTGTATGCATTGACACTAATGCGTACAGGCGACCGTAGATTTCAGAAGACATTACAAAGTCACGAACGGCCCTGAAAAGAAGGTCAGTGATCAAAAAATAGTGTAAATTTTATGTTCAACTGATGCTGAAGATAACATCTTGTTGATTACCGTAAAACCAGAAGGGCTCCCTAACTTCCAGCCAATTTTCCTCGGTTCCTGCCAAAGATATAAAAAAGTTTTCACATGATAACTTGTTTATCACAATATCAAAAATCTTTTATAAGTTAGCCACTTTTTGGCATCTTTCATAGGAACCGAGATAATTGAGCTCAAAGTGCTCGTAAAGGGTAGGCTTCTGGCCCGCTCACCTAGATTCTGGCTCCGAGAACGGTCTTGGTCCTTGGAACTCATCTGAGCATGGATTGTTGAATGGGTAGTTGTTATGAGAAAATCCAATATCGTAGTTCCTATTCAAATCGACACCTTCACAGCAGAGATCGGAAGAAAATGGTCCAGTACCTGTGCAGTTTTCTGGCGCTCTGTTCTTACGCCATTGACGGATCTGAAAAATCCAGAAGTTGTCATGGACACTGTCTCCACACCCACCGTAGCCCTTGTAGAAGTTCTAGAGTAGACGAAGCCATCAGGATTGAGAACTGGAAACACATAGATATCCAAAGTGTTCACATATTTTGTGATTTTATCGTCGCCGAGGTATCCATTGACCAGCTGAAATCATCAGCCACATGTGTAAACAAGACAGGATCTTATGTAATCTTTTCTTCTCTTTGTTAATTGTTTTTTTAAAACACCTTTCGCTAGTGAGAAAAAGAAGAGGATAATGATAGATTATCTAGTTGTGACTATGGTCAGTTTGTTACTTTCATGAGTGAAACTATGTGGTGGTAAGGAAGCCACCATTTTTTTTAAATAGAATCATACACAAACCATCAACTTGGAGCTCAATTATCTCGATTCCTGTAAAAGATATCAAAAGTTTGGTAACTGATAAAATGTTTATCATAATATCAAAACTTCACGATATCATTCACAGGAACCTAGATAACTTGGCTCAAAGTTACGGTATTTGCAGAATTAACATTTCAGTTGAAAACGGTCAGTTTTGGGTGTCTAAATAAGCACTTACTATTAGTACCTGACCTTAACATTTCAAAAATTGAAAAACTAAAGTGCAACTTTCTTTTTGCAGTTTGCACTTTTCAAATCACTTGCCAAAAAGTGGGTTTTCACTCTCTGGTTTCCCGAACTTTGGTGTTGAAAAGTTAATTTTTCCTATAATGTGTTTTTGTAGCAAGTGATTGTAAAAGTTGATAAATAAAAGGAAATTTACAAGTTGAAAGTACCGCCAATGCGACAATAGAATGCCATTTCTTTGAGCTCAATTATCTGGTTTGCTATAAGAGTTATCAAAAATTTATTAACTAAAATAATGTTGCTGACATCGTGATAAGCATTCTATCAGTTTGCAAATTTGTAATATCTCTTATAGGAACTGAGATTGTTGAGATCAAAATATGCAACTATGGTGATAACGCAACCAGCAGTGCCGACAGAGCCGCGCACAATTTAAGCTCAATTATTTCGATTTCCTGGCTCAAGGTGAGAGGCTAGTGTATGTAGACCAGTTCGGATGATTTAATCTTCATAAAACTTCTACGAATCAAGTTTCAAACGAAAATGCCCTAAAAATCTTTCGAATAATTTCCCAAATTTCCAGACATACCTTCTCAATAAAGTACACGGCAACATGGAATGCTGGCCACTCTCTGGCATGATTTCCTCCATCCAACCAGACTGCGATTTTCCTTCTTCCAGCTGGAGCAGGTTTTCCGATTCGAACTCCCAACAATGGACGCCCTTCCCTGGATCTTCCGATCGTTTTCAATTGTACAAATGATGGATTATCATGAGCAACTCCTTTTACATAATCCTCAAATTGTGGCCAGTCGTTGTACTGAGTGAGATCAAAAAACGGGGTTCGGGCACCGGCTTTTGCTTGTGGGGTCCTGGAAAGCTGGAAGTGAAAATGAGACTTGGAATTTTTGAATAACCAAATATCCGAAGACCATGGAGATCCGAGAATGATAGCTTCTGAAACTATACTCATCAGATTCTATCAATACGAATTATTCTAATAATGCATGATTTACAAGTTCCAGGAAATATCAGATAATGAACATTTTCATAACAAAAATATTAAAAATTTCGAGATCGTGAGATTTACAAAGCCTAAAAGAGATTTCCTAGGTTTTTAGACTTAGCCGATATAAGATAATTTGGGAGCTATTTTTTAGCTAATATTTTCAGGACCGATTCGAAAAAGATCCAATTTGAAAATCAGGTTTATTGTGGGTTGGAAATCTTTTGCCGCCAACTTCGAAATCAATTATCTTGTATTCTTCAAAAAGATATCAAAACATTTTCAATGGATAAATTCTCTATCATAATATCACCAATGCTTTTTAGGAAGGACCTTCTATTACAGGTTTTACGGTAGTCAACTTTCCTTCAAATGCCCAATCCCATTCAATAGAATAGCTCCTATTTTTTGTCATAATTATCTCAGAATTTTGTTCATGTCCAGTTTTCATACCTTTCTGTAGCCGAAATAAATGCTCCAACCGAACGCAACTCTCTATTTGTACGTTGAGCTCAATTGTCCCAAATTTTTGCAAGAAATATCAAAAATTACAAACTATAAAATGTTGGTTACATTATGAAAATAGTTTTATCAGCTGACTGTTTTTTGATAACTCATAAAGAAACCGTAATAATTGAGATCATAGGGCAAGTACTCTAATTCTATAAAGCCAAAACCCCAGAAAAAAACGGTAAATCATTTTCTCAGTTCCCCAGGTCAAGAGGAAAAGATTCGATATCGGCTACCTATCCTAAACAGGTTCCTTCCATTTCTCTAATAAAAAAAAACCAAATATATAAATCCACTTCCTTTTTGATAACGAAGCAATAATTTATTTCCGTTTCTCCCTGTACCTACCCGTTGAATTTCCCTTCTGCCTTCTAATCAAAAAGATACATTCACCATCACTGATTATGATGATAGTAATGATTATTATTAATGCCAACCACACCATAAACTGTCACTTATTCTTCATTCCTCCATTCGATAACCACTTTTTTGTTTGTATTTGGAAGAGAGAAGAGAGGGAAAAGAAGCAGAGAAAAGAATATGAAACTGAATGGGAGGTTTTAGATGACCTTGTTTAAGAAAGAAAAATGGAACAATAAGGGGGCGAAAACTGGATATTCTAGGGGTTTATTGACTTATAAATCAAACATCTACTTAAACTTGAAAGAAAGTTAAAAATTAGAAAAGTTTGAGTAAGTGTTTAGAAATCAAATCAACGTATTCGATCTAGTTTAGGATCCCACCCAAACAGTAAACTTTGAGCTCATTCATCTCGATTCCTAAAGGAGATATCAAAATTTAGTCAACTGATAAAGTTATTTTCATAATATCATGAACATTTTGTCAGTTGACAACTTTTTGATATCTTCTACAAGAATCGAGGTAACTAAGCTCAAAGTTGACGGTTTGGGTGGGGTTCTATGAGAGATGCGGTAGTTAATTTAAAAGTCTCAAAAAAGTAGTCTAAGATATTTCGATTCGTCTAAAAATATCAATGTCTACTAAAAAAATTCAATTTAGTAGTTAACCACTTTTATGTAGAATTCGTCAAAATGAAATATGACGCTTGAAACCAACCAAACGTCAAAACTTCCAAATACAATTTGAAATACGGTAAGGGTTACTGTGAGTAAACTGGGAAGATTATAATTTTTGAAAGTCAACAAATAACCACAAAATTTAATGAAGGAAAATTTAAATTTTGCAGCTTAGAAGTTGAACAAGTACTTGCCAAAAATTTTCAATGAATCCTCTAATTTGATTTCTGATTTCTACTGAACCGAATTTGCCTGGAATTTCAGAATATCAGAATTACAGAATTTAAGAATCTCAGAGTCACAGAATTTCAGAATCTCAGAATCACAGAACTTCAGAATTTCAGAATCTCGGAATCTCAGAATCTCAGAATCTCAGAATCTCAGAATCTCATAATCTAAGAATCTCAGAATCTCAGAGCCTCAGAATCTCAGAATCTCAGAATCTCAGACTCTCAGAATCTCAGAATCTCAGAATCACAGAATCTTAGAATCTTAGAATCTTTAAACCTCTGATTTTCAGAAATTGAGAATCTTAGATGTTAAAAATCTTAAAACCTAAGAATCTCTGAATCTCAGAACTTCTGAATTTCAGAATCTCGGAACCCTGGAATCCTGGAATCCTAGAATCTTAAAATCACCTAATCTAGAACCTGCGGATCCATACCCTCATTACCTCAGAAATTCAGAATCTCATAATCTCGGAATCTCAGAATCTCAGAGCTTCAAAATTTAGGAATCTCATACTCTAATTGTTCGAATTTAAAATACCTAGTAACCTTTGAATTTTAAAACCTCTAGTACCAGAAAACTGAAAGACTCACCAAACTGCTACCAACAGGTAGACGAGGAGACACACCGTAGACCTCATCACGAACATCTTCTTCAGATGAGGAGGGCTAACGTCTTCAGAAGAAGCTGTTGGATGATGGTGTCTCTCTGCCCTACAACTGAGACATTGGCAAACGAAAAAAGTGGGCGGACGGCCCAAGACGACGACGATATCAGTGGCAAAAAGAGAGATGGAAGAGAGAAGAGAGAATTAGAGAAAGAGACTTGAGAAAACAAGACTAAATAATACCGAATATATATCTGTAGATGTACATTTATTATAATAACATTGAGGTGAGAGAATGTGTAAAAAGTGTGAAAGTGTATCGAAATGCTGAGAGAGGGAGAGATATCAAAGAGGAGGAAGAAAAAGAGAAGAAGTGGAACTATTCAAGACTGGAAATGGTTTCTTTCTCAGGAGAAGGACAGTAGTTTTGGTTGAAGGGTTTGTGGCTCGTTACACTGCACCGTCCATCTGACAGGGCGACGAACAACTACCCGGTATGATAAAACAGGGTATATCTTTAGACATAAGCATCTTGATAGCACAAAAATTGGTAGAAATATAATTTTACCTTTGATTCAAAGCTACTAAATTTTTCAAAGAAATTCCTCGAGTCTAGGTATTGTTATGATTGTGCAAAGATGAGCGTAATGGATCTTGTCGTTGTGATTTTAATGATTATGATGAATTATGTGATTTTGTGTATACCAAACTTGAGCCCAGTACAACGCTTTACTCAAATGGTATGCTAGTAAAAACTTCAGCCCGGGTCCACCCTGTATTGTTTATTAAAATGGAGAACAAGAAAAAATAGTAGAGAGAGAGAAAAAGCAGATGAGCATCAGGTGAAATTTTTAACTCGCAACTCGGAAGTTGGCCGGAAGTCGGAAGTCGAACTCTCTGCTATCAGAAAGCCATGCGCACGCTGTTCATTGTTATTTCATTTCTTTTAAAATCTGATTTCGGTCAGTTCTGATTGGTGTC